TTTTTGGGAAACTCTTTTCCAACTATTAAAAATTTCCTTTTAAAATGCTTTTATTGTTTATTTATTAGCTGGATATAGGTCACTATTATTTCAATAAAAATTAAAAAACATTAAAAAATATAATAATAAATCCTTAATTGCTATTTATTAAATAATTGTATATTTCGACTCTCTTTGAGAGTCAGAAGCAGGTCTAATAAAAAATAAAAATTAATTAATAATATCAGATTCCATTTTAGTTAGATATTGTTCAGTGCAATATGGACAATAGACAACTAGATTTTTTAATTTTTATTGAAATAAAAGTGACCTATAAAAGTGGCCAGCTAATGAATCAACAATAAAATCATTATAGAATACAGGTCGATAAACAAATTTAAAGTTTAATTTCCTTTTAAATAAGGAATATACGTTCATAAAAATCATCTGGAAATAAAAGAGCATAATTACTAGGAGAGCGGAATGTTTAAAACCTGAAGAGCTGAAATTTATTATCAGAGGCTACAAATGCAACATGACTCAGCTTCATCCTTAAACATAACCTAAAATAATGAGTTTCTGAGAACTTTTTTAAAAAACAAATTTAAAATAAAAACAATTTGTCATTGACTATTCTGAAGTCAAAATATCAATAAGTCAGTAAAGACTAACCTTCTAGAAGATCTAAGTTAGCTATAACAACTATTCTGAAAGTATTTAGATTTGGTCAAAGGTCTGAAACGATCTTAAACCTGAGTAAATTTTGGCGAACGACGTAATGTGGTAACCATTTAAATAATTAATTTGTTACCCTAACTTACTAGATTACTTATTTTACCGTTTGCAAACTAACTGTATTTATAATCCAAATCCACCTTCACAATCATTTTCATTATCTTCATTATCTCATATTATAGTGAAAATAATATACTTACTATTTATATAATCAAAACTTCCTAACTTCTGCTCACATTCAGTCCAAAGTGTTATGAAATATATTTTTAATCCAGGATATCGGTTCACCAAATGTAGTATTCATAATATTAAAAATATTTGCTCATCTCCAGTATTATTTTGTTATTCGTCAGTTGGAGTTTCAATATGAAAGCTTTACGCATTTGAGACGTTATCTGATCAAGTAAACGTCTTACGTGTTATCTTTTGCTGAAAGATTGAAACATCTCAAGATGAAATTTGGTCGAACTGACACTTCAGTATACGCATTTATAATTTCATTTATTTCGATGAATTCACGACGTACATTTTTTGTGTAACTCTGTTGGAACAAGTTTATTCATATTAGTAAATCTTCTCGGCAATAATTTTAATAAAATATACTATATATACTCTAAATTGTTAACATATAGTTAAATGATAATAATTACACTGCTTCACAAGAAAAAAATATTTTTCTTTTAAACAAAAAAATTTAAAAAATTGAATAAGAATTTTAAACTGTATTAATAATACTATTTTATACTATATCTTAATAAGGAAGGTAGTCAGCCTGATTGCTACATTCAGCCCACTACATTCAGCCTTCTGAGTCCTTTCATTCTTAAAAATAATATACTATTGAAAACGGTTTTATATTAATCGGAGTTACAACTATCGTAGAGAAGTATCCATTAACCGGATTTACCGGACTTACAGAGAAAAGACCAGTAAATTGAACGATCACTAAATTAAGTATATTGAAATTGAGAGAAATTATATGGAAAAAAATTCATTTGTACAACTAAATATCTATTTTTATATTTTTGTTTCCGGAACTTGTTGAACAGCTTAGTATTTTATAATAGAAATAGTATAGTGCAGTTTTTTCCATAAATGAACACATAGGTTCTCGCACCATGACCTATTATTTACTTAAGCATTTAATGAATAATTCATAATACCAGCAATGGCAGTTACAAATATATATGATATATTATAATTTTAATGTACCTTTGACTAGACCATATCCCAAAAATATTTTACTATTAAGTCCCCTGGAACTCAATGTAAGTATCTCGCATTCATCACCGGATTTGTCCATTTCATCTGACTAAATAAACAGCCTCCGTTGATGATTAATTAATGAACCACGATTTGCGTTGTAAAGAAGAAATCACTGATGAAAATAAATAGTTTTTATTATTTATCGATGTAAATCAACATAGTGAAGATGTGCTATAGAAGGTAACACTTTTATCTTTATATATTACGTTTAATGCTATTTGTTAATGACAATAAAACTTTTCGCTTAAGGTCTAAGAATGAAATTGGAATTAAATACTATATTTAAAATTATTTTATAAAAAAGTACTATTTACCCTTTTAATCTCTGGTCACAGAAATTAATTTGGATTGTGTACTACTGGAATCGGTTGGGTGGTGATGAGACTCTGTGATATTGTTTGACCCACATAATGTATGGATTTTCTGTATTCCAGTGGCAATACATGTAATTATGTTGAAGCATCTCAAGCGCCAATTTTAAACATTTTTTTACTATACCAGATTTGGAAAATTCTAAACATATTTTAACTGAAATAATTTAAATAGAAAAATATCATATTAATTTTATTATAAGAATAACATTAAATAACAATAAAGTTTTGAAAAAATATTTGAGTGGGTATTTAATTTTCATTTTTCTCTGAAATACAATTATTTCAATCGCTCCTCATTCATTTGCTTCGTTGTTTTATCGCTTTCTTTTCTTTTCTTTTTCTTCATTCTTGCAACAGAATGTCAATATATATATAAAAAAAAATAAAGAAAATATTGGAGAGGAGGCAGCGTTTACAATTTTAATATACTTATACTTATTTAAATATATTTATTTCCTATAAAAATATACACATATTGTTAAAAAGAAATATTCATTTAAAAATATACATATATAAAAACAAACTCACTGAAAACAAATCATTTATTCGGAATTGATATTGAAAAATGTTACTATGTTACGGATAAGTGTGAGGCACATAACACAATAAATTCAAGTTAGATGCAATGCATAAAGACTACGCAGAGCAAGACAAAAATATACCGTTTGGTAAGGGTTTATGCGTGTGAGTGTGTATGTGTGCATGCAGCCATTTGCGTACTACGCATTAAATTGCCATTTGTAAAATCTTATTTTTGATTGGTTCACATAGAAATTTAATGGTTCATAAAGAAACACAAAAAAGGAAAACAAAATGGAAATTAAAAGACGTATAACTTGAAGAAAATGTTATGGTGTATTTCCAATTAAAAAAAAATACGAAGCACATATTTAAATTGTTCTTATTTTAAATACAAAAACGTTTATTTACTTCAAAATCAGTTTACTTGGGTATTACTAATTTAATGGTAATATTTATTTCAAACAAATAAAAATATTTAACTACCGTTCACCTTTAATAAAACAAGCTACACTACATTTATGTGTCTTTACCTTGTTCAAACATAATTTAAAAATTCACAATGATCACCACTACCACTCAACAAGAAAATCTTAACCAATACACTCCGCCGAATCAAACACAACTGGTATTGATATTTCGCAAATATTCTGGCATTCATTGCAGAAACATTAAAACAAAGGGTGCCAGATTTAATAAAAACAAATTTGAATATTTAATAAAAAAACTTTTGCCAGATTTAATAAAAACTTTTGATATATATCCGATTGTATCATTATTATTATATAATTATCATTAAATTATATTTAATTTTAATTTATATTAATAAATAACTATTATTTTCATTAATCAAAATTTATTTTTACTTTCAAATGTGGTAAAAACTTATGAACTGTTTAAAGTTTAGCAAAAATAAATGTTAAAAACATTCTTATAAATATTAGTATTATTATAATTCTTTACAAAATTAATAATATAATTATTACTAATACGAAATAAGAAAACCAAATCAAATATGGTTAAAAGATAATTTTTTACATACAATTTATGGCGAAAGGTACGGATTTCTACAGGAAATGCGACTAAAATTTAAACGCTTCACCATTCTTATCGACAATCTTTACGGATAAATGTAAAGCAAATAATAAAATAAATTCAAATTAGAAACAATACGAATACAGTATGCAATGCAAGACAAAAACTAACCGTTTCGTGTGGCGTCATGCATCTGAGTGTGTATGTGTGCATGAAGCCATTTCTGACTACACATTAAACTTCCCTACAGTAAATTCTTATTTTTCATTGGTTCACATTCAAAATTAATGGTTAATAAACAGAGAAAAAGAAAAAAAAAATTAAAAACTAATAAAAATGGAAATTAAATCAAGTACAACTTATATAATTTATGATAGTGTATGTATTTTTATTTTAGGGAAAGAACTACGAAGCAAATATTTAGTTATTTTTAATTTAAATACAATATCATTTATTCAGTTCAAAACATTTATATTTAATTGTACATTATTAGTAATATTTATTTCAAACAAATATATTTAATCAGCTTTATCTTTCAAAACATGCTTCACTTACTTTCTTGTCTTCACCTTGTTTAAAAATAATTAAAAATTCACGTCGTCAGCACTGACATATTACACATTACATATCACGCAAAACTACAACCTTCCAACTTGCCGAACCAAACACGACTGATATTTTTAGAATTCTGTGGAGCAAATATTCTGCCATTCCTTGTAGAAATTTTAAAACAAAGGTTGCCAGATTTATTAAAGAAAAGTGGAGACTTTTAATATATCTGATAATATAAAATTAAAAATTTTAATTACTATTAAATTAAATCTGTGTTTATAAAATTCTTTTTATACTTTCATCATATGGTCTAGAAATTTATTAACTGAATAAAGTTTACTAAAAAAAATGTTTAATTTATTAAAAATAATTTTCGTACGTAAATTAGTATTATTTCAATAAATTAAAAAATTAGTGATACAATTATTACTAATGGAAAACCAAAGGAAGGAACAAAGAAAATTTGGTACAAAATACACTGTTTACATAAGGGGTATTCACTCTCTTTTAAACTTATTGCAAGGAGCACGAAATGCAAGAATGCTATAAAAAAAACTGCAAGACTGCGAGAACACCTTTGTTGCAGAATTGCATCATCAAAATTAATCAGCTGTTTTTGCAGCCATATCACATTGAGCAAGGAAAAATAAAAGTATAACAATGACGCGAACAAGTGAAATACAAAAATGTATAAATTTTTTAATTGAAAATATTGCTTTTAATATTCACTGCTGTATAGTTTCTATTTGTTAGATGATGCAAATTACTGGGAAGTTATGGAGCAATTAAATGAAGACATTTTGTTTACGTCAGTAAACCATCACGGAAGTCACTAACCCGTACCAAAATTTATTCAATGGAGATCTACCATTCTTCAAGAATTTGATGAAGGCCGTTTTCGTCAGATGCTTAGAGCAAACAAATTTTCCTTAATACTCTTACTAATAAACACTAGTATGGAGTTCATTAATTCACATTCAATTCAACGATTCCCGCTCGATCTCCAACTTGCCATTGTTTTATATCGTTTGGGTTCATCAGGCGAAAATGCGGCTATTCGTAAAGTCGCTACATTATTTGGTGTTGGATATGGGGAAACAATTTATAAGATAATCCGAAGAGTCCTTCGCTCCATATTGGATATATTGACGGTACTGAAATAAAACTTGCCGAAGCACCAGTGGTTAACCATACATCCTATTTTTCAAAAAATAGAGTGTATATTAATAAAAGCACACGTCGTATGTGACTATCAGCTGAAGATTCGACATGTCGCAGTTGGTCACTTTGGAAGTGCACATGATGCTCGCATGTTTCGTACAAGCGCTATCTGCATCCAAGAAAATTCCTTATTTTCTTCAGAACAATGGTTAGTAGGCGATTCTGCTTATCCATTACTTAAAACTCTTATAACTCCGTTTCGGTCAAACTCCCAACAGCTTGACTACTCCAAACGTAAAACTTTTAACTTATGCCATAGCAGATTTCGTGTAAGGGTTGAACATTGTTTTGTACTTCTGA